TATTTATAATATACAATATAAAAATATGAATTATTCGTTATTAGTATTTAAACTAAAATTGGTTTCTTCAATTCCACTATAAATACAATAATACGATAACACAGAATGTTTACTATGGCTATTGCTATTCTCTGTATAACTTTGAAGCTGATCCCCTTGAACTCTTCTTCTTCTTCGAAGGAGGCCATTTTATTCTTCAGGAAAATAGTAATTCAAAGATTTTCTATTATAAAATCCAGAATATTCTTTAAAACCGTATACAAATTAACACGTGGAATTGCATTATCTTAAATTTAATACATTAATCCATATCAGTCTTGGAAATTTTATTAAATAGCAACAGGATGGCGTTTCTCACCTGCCAAGTATTAATTACGAAAAACCGTAGATTGGAGAGTCACTTAATTCCAATTATTCCTTCCACATATATACCCCGTTCACCATAAAATTGCACACAATTTTAGGATTCAAAGCACGTTAAAACAGTTCGTTTCCACGCGGTTTGGCACGATAAATCCACGACGATCTAGAGACTCGTTAGCTCAGGGGGTTATTAGGGTGTCTAATTTTTTCATTTCCCTGCTATTCATCCCCAACGCGTAGATAGAGACATACGCAACGACGACCAGTTGAACGCAATTAACGTGTTGACGCCAGGAAGCGTCGACCCGTGAAGCAAACGCGGCTTCTGTCACCTGGCTAATCTGACTAACAGATACCGCCTGGAGTACGCATCTCGTGCACCGGTCTTCACGGTCGAGACGATTGAAAAATACCTGCGACCGTATCTCCGCTTAATCGGCATACATTACCCGATCTCGAGCAGATTTCGACCACCTTTCCGACTCGGTACCTCGAAATCGACCGTTCCTCCGTCTGCCAACGAATTTCCTCGCGATCCAACGTTCTCCTCGATTATCCATCAGACCTAGCTGCTAGGGCGAACTAGCATTGGTCGATTAGGATGTTCACTTTGGACGCAAAATTGTAGAGAAAATTGTTGACAGAATTTTGACAGAATTTTGACTTGAATAGTGAAATATTGGTTACTAGGTGACAGGAAGTTGCTTCGTCAGTGGACCACAGTGGTGTCAATAGACAATTGTCTGGATTAGTATGATAAAATAAAGGGAATAGTAATATCGTGGGTTAGAAAGGACACTTTTCAAGATGTTAATGGAAGCTTGGTATATTATGGAAATTAAATAGGAAAATATTGTAGGATTACTGCTAGATGAATCCTATGCTGACAGAGATCTGCGATTCTAATGAACGACTCCTTTTTAATAACGAAATGGATTTATTTAACTAAAATATTATACTAGGTTTCTGTCAGCTCTGACTCTCAAACAGATGATCTTCTATAGATGAACTATCATTTATTCGGTTTTAATTAAGTTGAATAACATTTGTCCGTTCTCCATAGATAACTTCGATGAATATTCCATTTGTAGTCGAGAGTCTGTCGAATAAATAAGCGATAAGTGTCTCCAAGCAAAGTGGTTCTTCCATTAGATTTATGTGTCATTTAAGTAATCAAAGTCTTTAAGTATTGCCAAGTATTAAGTATATTAATACTTAATATTAATATTCTAATAATAAAAAAGTAAATAATATTAAGTATTCTAAACTGACTTTTCTATTTTAGATATGATTTTCTGTCGGGATATAATAAAGTTACTAATTATCGAACTGTCCTGTATTTCAATTAATTTTAACGTTCCCAGAATAATCCTCGCTGTAATTAATTCTCACCCCGAACCAAAAGAATCCAGCCATAAGCACAGAAAGCTTTACCCCCCTTTGTCTTTAACATTCTGCATCCATCCAGTACCATTATTATCGTCCTGTGATACGAGAGCTTTCAGGAAGCTCAAATACCTCACTTAATATTAATATCCTAATAATAAAAAAGTAAATAATATTAAGTATTCTAAACTGGCTTTTCTATTTTAGATATGATTTTCTGTCGGGATATAATAAAGTTACTAATTATCGAACTGTCCTGTATTTCAATTAATTTTAACGTTCCCAGAATAATCCTCGCTGTAATTAATTCTCACCCCGAACCAAAAGAATCCAGCCATAAGCACAGAAAGCTTTACCCCCCTTTGTCTTTAACATTCTGCATCCATCCAGTACCATTATTATCGTCCTGTGATACGAGAGCTTTCAGGAAGCTCAAATACCTCAAATAGATAAATAAAATCTCCTCTAAATTTAATTAAATTCTCTAAATAAGAATAATTTTTTGATATCAAAATATTCTTCTTCCTTTCCCCATATTACCATTAATTTATCGATAAATTAGTGTAGGATTATTGCTAGATTAATCCTATACTGACAGAGATCTGCGCGTCTAATAAACAACGACTCCATTTTAATAACAAAACAGATTTATTTAAACTAACATATTACGCTAACTCTCTAGCACACGATCCTCTATTCGCTGCGTTTCGACTACACGCATTCTGCCTCACCCGTGCCCTTGCACCCTTACTCGAAGTCAAAACTCTCTCTTCTCATGCACAGACTTTCTTTCTCGATCACTCGACACAGTCATAGATATCCCGTCAAAATGATTCTTTCGCACTATCGTTTGTTCTTTCGCCCGCATCCTAGATGTCGCCCTGAACGCTCGAGTCGGACCCAACGCCGCTGTTTATTATTCCTCGCTTTTCGAGAAGCGGCCCGAACGTTCCCATGCATTCGCTTATAAGTAAGACCGCACACCCATTCGTCCCGCTATCACTCTTAATACTATTTCCTTTGTTAGCGTGCTTCAGTGCTCGCAATACCACAGTATTATATCCTTTATTTTCCTTATTCTTAATTAAAATTACTAAAAATGTCCCAGCATGCATTACGGTGCATCAAAAAGGTGGGACACTTTGAATCCCAGCGTGGCCCAAAGAGTTAATTCATTCTAGGCTCACTTTGGACATTAATTTTGGCTAAAACACGGTCTTCCTATTCTTCAGTCTTCAGTCTCAGATTTTGGTTAGCTTGGTAGTAGGTAGGTCGTCCGAAGTATAGTGTCTGCACTCGCCTAACCTCCCTAACCATCGTCAGCAATCGCAGCAAGTCCATTGCATAGCAACCGCGTGTATTTCGTCGATTCGACGCGTCGTTGCTTCCTTTTATCCTCTTTTTCGACCCATCTTATCGATTTGGGGAAACTCGTGGCTAGTGAACGCAGATATAGCTTCGACCAGCGAGGAAAGGACACCTTTGACCTGTCTGAGGCTCTAATCAACTTACCAGCGTCTCGGTTTTCCCTAGACGTCTCATCTCGCTGCATCGGAAGTCGCTGCACTCGTATATGCTACATGATTTGCTCCCTGGTAGACTCAAAAGAGGAACTGTCTCTCCGGAAATAATAATAATAATTGATAACTTTGCAGGAGCTTGGCATATGCGTTCGAAAATGTAGTCGTTGCACACGTTCGTTGGATTACTTTGTAAGCTACATAGACACAGGGCTCCTATTTAGCTGTAGTCTTAGTTAGCTGTATTTAGATGCTGGCACACTGTCTTTGACTCTACTAGCAAAGGGACTGATCTGCAATAGTTCTGGACTGGACCGGTTTCTCGATTATAATCTATTTCTCGCGAGGACTATACTATTATAGAAGCTACTGGGGTGGGCACCGACTATTAAAGAAGTTTACGAATCGATTATGCGATTGGTAAGGTGAAAACTAAAGGTATGGATTATTCGAGAAGCTTCGGATTATACTAAGGGAGTCAGATTATTCTAGAGGGTACTAACTGTGCGAAAAGGTAGGCATTATTCGAGAAGCTATACACTATGAAAGAAGGTACGAACTATGCGAGATGATCGGGATTATTCGAGAAAGTTCGAATTATTCGAGAGGCTACTAACTGTGTGAGAAGGTATGGACTATGCTGAATAATGGGAATCATTCGAGAAGGTCGGATTATGTGAGGTGGTAGGGATTATTCGAGAAAGTTCAAATTATTCGGAAGGCTACTAACTATGCGAGAAGATATGGACTATGCTAGATGATAGGAATTATTCGAGAAGGTATGGACTATGCTAGCTAATAGGAATTATTCGAGAGTCTACTAACTGTATGAGAAGGTATGGACTATGCTAGCTAACAGGAATTATTCGAGAAGATATGGATTATGTGAGGTGCTAGGGATTATTAGAGAAAGTACAGACTATGCGAGAAGGCAAAGATTATTCAAGAAGGTACAAACTATACGAGATGATAGGGATTATTCGAAAAGATTCGATTTATTCTAGAGGCTACCAACTCTCAAAATGTGAGAAGGTACAGTCTATGTAAGATAATGGGTATTATTCGAGAAGGTACGGACTATGCAATGTGATAGGGATTATTCAATAAGATACAGACTATGCGAGAAGGTACGGCTTATTAGAGAGGCTACTGCCTACGCGAGAAAGTATCAGCAAAAGTACGCAGGAAAAGAGTTGATACCGATGAAAGTACAGACTATTCGAGTCTCACAGCGACAAACTCACGGCTTATGGAAGAAGTCCGGGACTGTGCAAGAAGGTCCCGCCGAAATGGCGAACAATGCGCGAAGACAGCCAACCAGAGGGCAAAGAGAACGAGGAAAGCAAGGGAAGAAAGAGAGAAAAGAAAGTTGCTCGCGCTCGCCCTTTGCAACGTCAGCCCTGGCCGAGGCCTTTCCAGCGAAAGTGATGGCTGTGGCTGGTCGGTTGCTTGCGTAGGAAAAGCGGGTCCGGGGGTGGTTGTGCGTCGCTCCACGGAGTCGCTTGTTCCTCCACCTTGAACGCTCGCTGGAGGTGGTGGCGGGTGGGGTGTTCGGGGCGTCGAGGGGTTGCGGGACGGAAGGGGGTGTCGGTAACCTTGCAACCCTCTTGCGTACGCGGAGGAAGGGGAAGTGACAGGAATCCCGGGAGGAGCGGTGGGTTATGGGTTGAAGGCAGTCGGGGGTGCAGCCGCACGGGGCGGCAGTGACGGGCGTGACGTAGTCGGAGGAGGATGTACGCCCCTGTCGGTGAGGGCCACGGCAACCAACAACCATCCCTGGTCAATTCATGGTGGCTTCATCCGCCAGGTACACCGTGTTCACACCTCTTCATATTTTTTCGCGCGCTATGCTTAGGCTAAGGGATTTCCCACAATTTTTCCGACCAGTTTCTGCCAGGTACAATTGCTCGCGAGTCTGCTTCCATTCGGGTTGGCAATCTTTGGCGGTTTCGGTGTCCGCGAGACGCAGGGATCGAAGTGCGTGGATCCTATACATGACCAACGAAACAGGTCTTTCTTTAATAGTCGATATAGTCGCGTCTGGATTATTTTTCCACGAATTCTGAATTTTTAGTGACGTTTCTTGTCAGTAAAATTGACAGGTCAAAAGGAGTGCGTGGATTTTATAGATGATCAACTTGACCAACGGAACAGGTCTTTCTTTAATAGTCGATATAGTCGCGTTTAGATTATTTTTCCACGAATTCTGAATTTTTAGTGACGTTTCTTGTCAGTAAAATTGACAGGTCAAAAGGAGTGCGTGGATTTTATAGATGATCAACTTGACCAACGGAACAGGTCTTTCTTTAATAGTCGATATAGTCGCGTTTAGATTATTTTTCCACGAATTCTGAATTTTTAGTGACGTTTCTTGTCAGTAAAATTGACAGGTCAAAAGGAGTGCGTGGATTTTATAGATGATCAACTTGACCAACGGAACAGGTCTTTCTTTAATAGTCGATATAGTCGCGTTTAGATTATTTTTCCACGAATTCTGAATTTTTAGTGACGTTTCTTGTCAGTAAAATTGACAGGTCAAAGGGAGTGCGTTGATTCTATAGATGATTAACATGACCGAAGGAGAGCAGATCGTTCTTTTATAGTCGATATAGTCGCGTTTAGATTCTTTTTCTCCAATTCGGAATTTTTGGTGACGTTTCTTGTCAGTAAAATTGACAGGTCAAAGGGAGTGCGTTGATTCTATAGATGATTAACATGACCGAAGGAGAGCAGATCGTTCTTTTATAGTCGATATAGTCGCGTTTAGATTCTTTTTCTCCAAGTCGGAATTTTTTGTGACGTTTCGTGTCAGTAAAATTGACAGGTCAAAGGGAGTGCGTGGATTCTATAGATGACCAGCATGACACCGGAATTTTTAGTGACCTTTCGTGTCAGTAAAATTGACAGGTCAAAGGGAGTGCGTGGATTCTATAGATGACCAGCATGACCAAAGGTGAACAGATCGTTGTTTTATAGTCGATATAGTCGCGTTTAGACCTTTGTTCTTCGAATCGGAAATCTTTGATGACATTATATATCGGTGAAATTGACAGATCGTGGAGAGTGTGTAGATCCTATGGATGACCAACTTGACCAACGGAACAGGTTTTTGTTTAATAGTCGATATAGTCGCGTTCAGATTCTTATTCTTCTGTGAGCAATCTTTGGTGACGTTTCGTGTCAGTAAAATTGACAGGTCAAAGGGAGTGCGTGGATCCTATAGATCACCAACATGACAAGTCGTTCTTTCATACTTGATATAGTCGCGTTTAGATATTTTTCCTCGAATCCCGAATTTTTGGTGATGTTTGACAGATCGTAGCGGTGAGATTGACAGATCGATGAGAGTATGTAAATTCTATAGATCACCAACATGACAACTCGTTCTTTTATAGTTGATATATTCGCATTTAGATTTTTCTCCTCGAATCTGACATTTTTTATGATATTTGACAGATCGTGTCGATGAGATTGGCAGATCGTGTCGATGAGATTGGCAGATCGAAGAGAGTATATGGATCCTATAGTTGAACAACTTGACCAACATGACAGATTGTTCTTTTATAGTCGATATACTGCGCGAATCCTAAAGATGACCAACAGAACAGGTCATTCTTTTATAGTCTATATAATCGGATTTAGATTTTTGCTCTTCTGTGAGGAACCTTTGACAGATTGATGACAGATTTGACGAAATTGACAGATCTTAGGTAGTACGTGGTTCGCATAAATATTGCAAATACAGTCGTGCATTTTTGTTCGCCAAGTTGAGAATCTAGATCGAGAGGGATCATTCAGTGATCGATGTGTCTGACGATTTAATAGATGTATGACAGAAGTCTGCATTCGCCTAACGTTGACACGTTTTAGACGAAATTGTCTAAGCGCGTTGTTTGGTCAGTGAGCTACCTGTTGGCAGCGAAATTAACACGTAACTTCTGCATACTTATTCAATTACAGTATATATATCATTCCCTTTACTCTATTTAGATACTCAAAACTGATTTAATGCTAGACCTACCATAACCTGAATAACCAATTTTCGTTTCGAGATCCAGTCTCGATTTTGTCATCATTATAATCGCGTATCTTCGCTATATATTTCTGTATTTTTATTCTATTTTTCCCAAGATTCGTAGGGAATATTCGACGTGTAAACCAGGGTCCTGTCAACTTCGTATTTGCTTTTCTCTCAAACAAACCTATAGAGATGGTTTAGGTGTAATACGTCTGACCCTTTGCACTCTGAGAATTTTTCCACTTCGTCGATGACTGACGCCAACACACCTTTGCAATGGCAGGCTCCACCTCGAAACACAGAGTTCCAAATATTTTTGAACTAGTGTACACCTTTTCTCTTCTTTCATCTATCTTTTCACCTGTTTTCCATATTCATCGATGTAAATAAAGTGAGGTGACCACCAGGTGATTCTGCAGGTTGTAGATACCTTTAATTATTATATAATTATTATATAAACAGAATAATTATAGAAATTAGGATTTCCAAGTGTGTTATAGCAATTCTTCCAGACTTTTCTATTTTTTTAAATATTATTCACTGAGAAATATGCGTGACAGGATTGATTCTGGTTTACAGAGTTAGGGTACCGAAGGAATATTTATACTCGTCGGTGAGAGTTGATATTCCAGGAAAATTCGGGAATCTTCTCTGTCATCCTAATCGGTGGCACTGGAAATTATGCTACCATAAATTTCTCTTGCCAACTAATTTCCCGCTCCGCTAGGACAGCTAGTTCCACTTCGTGCATTCTTATTAACTCTGAATCTGCCAGGGCCTAAATGACCATTTCCAAACTTTTGATTAGAAACCCTATATTCAGCGTTATCCCTCTAATCACTAGTTCCCTCAATTTTTCTGCTGATCTATGGACGATCAATTTTCTAATCGTCTCTTCTTATTTAATTATATTTTTACAATTCCTCGTCTTTCTGTCAAAAATGAATTTTTATAAAAGAATTGACAGTTTGTGCCGAAATTTAATTATAAAGAATCGTAGATTGACTCGTAGATATAATTATAAAAATTGTAATATCTTTTGGGATCGTGTCTTGTTCATTGTTAAATGTTAAAACACGTTAAGTGTAATTTTACTTCAGTGTACCACGAGTGTAGCTCGTTTTCGTGTGTATTAATGTACAAAGTTGAATTTAATTGGAAAAGAAATAATTTCAAAATTAAATTTCTAAATAATTGTTATTTATAAAAATTTATATTTATTTTACATTCTATATATAGAATAATGAGAATAAATGAACATAAATGAATTTTTTCGATGATTGGACTATTTAAGTTGGACATTTAGGTTATGTTAGGTATTAATATTAATCGAAATGAGGAGTTTCGTATTTTCTATTTCTGAAATTGGTGAAAATAATCAGGTGTTTTGTACTTTTTGAATTTCTAGTGACTTTTATGGAGCGCGATTTATTTTTATTATTGTATTTGAATAATATGTATAATGGCGTATGTGTCTTTTACTTAGACACGCGTTGCAAGTCGGTGGTTCCAGTGTTAACCGTTACTTTCGTCGAACGAATGGTCACCGTTATGTACAATACGTTTGGACTAGAACTCGCGTTTCCTTTGTTTAATCTTATGCGACGCATGCACGTGCTACGTGCAGCTTTCGTGCACGCGTGTGCAGTGTGCGTAACGGTGAAAATCCGTTGGTTCGGTTCGAAAACGAACGAGTGTCCCACGGTTTTCGCGTTTTCCACGCCTTTTTTATCCACGGTTTTAGCGTTTTCCACGCCTTTTCTATTTCACGATTGTAGTATTTTCCACGCGTTATTCATCGCACGATTTTAGTGTTTTCCACGCATTTTCTATTTCACGATTTTAGTATTTTCCCCGCGTTTTTCGTGCCACGATTTTAAGCGTTTCCACGCGTTTTCTATTTCACGATTGTAGTATTTTCCACGCGTTATTCATCGCACGATTTTAGTGTTTTCCACGCATTTTCTATTTCACGATTGTAGTATTTTCCACGCGTTATTCATCGCACGATTTTAGTGTTTTCCACGCATTTTCTATTTCACGATTGTAGTATTTTCCACGCGTTATTCATCGCACGATTTTAGTGTTTTCCACGCATTTTCTATTTCACGATTGTAGTATTTTCCACGCGTTATTCATCGCACGATTTTAGTGTTTTCCACGCATTTTCTATTTCACGATTGTAGTATTTTCCACGCGTTATTCATCGCACGATTTTAGTGTTTTCCACGCATTTTCTATTTCACGATTGTAGTATTTTCCACGCGTTATTCATCGCACGATTTTAGTGTTTTCCACGCATTTTCCACTCCACAGGGTTACTGTTTTCCACGCGTTTTCCATTCCACGGTTTTGGTATTTTCCACGCATTTTTCGTGCCACGATTTTAAGCGTTTCCACGCGTTTTCTATTTCACGATTTTACTATTTTCCAGGCGTTTTTCATCGCACAATTTTAGTGCTTTTCACGCGCTTCTCGTGCCACGATTTTAATATTTTCCACATGTTTTCCACACCTCGGTCTTATTGTTTTTCACGCGTTTTCCACATCACAGTTTTCAGGTTTTCCACGCGTTTTTCATGTCTTCCACTCGACGGTTTCCGCGTTTTCCAGTCCACTCCACGGTTTTATTATTTTCCACGCGTTTTCCACACCACGGTTTTCGGATTTTCCACTTGTTTTTCACGCCTTCCATTCCACGGTTTTCGCATTTTCCACTCCATGATTTTCACATTTTCCACACCACGCTTTTCATGTTTTCCACTCCACGGTTTCCGTGTTTTTTACCC